ACCCCGGAACAGCCTGTAATTAGTTAGACCAACCCACACGGCCCATCTCCGTGCGGAAGGCGCCGCTCGGAACTTGGGGAGGGGGCAGGATTAGCGCTTTGGGGAGAGAGCCTCGCCCACGACTGCACGCGAAGGCCAAGGCTGCCGCTCCGTAACTCCAGCTTGGAGAGCTCACGGCCCCTGCTCTCGTTGGAGCTGCCTCCTCTCCGGCAGGTTCTCTGGGGGTGAGGTCATCCGATGACACACTCGTTGCGGCTCCCCTCCCTCCCTCTGGCCAGTCTGTGACCTGGGCCGGGCAGAGGCCCCTAGGGCAGCGCTTGGGGCTGGGCTGCGGTCTTCGGCTCATCGCTCACCCAGCGCCCAAGGCCTGGGCGAGCTGCAGGAAGGCAGACCGCCTTTCGCCTTTCCCTTTGGGCTGAGGGGTGTGGCTGGAATCTGCTCTTTGGCTTGGGGCAGTCGATGCTGTCCTGGTCCCCAAATGATGCTGACAATGAAATAAAAACCGAAACAAGAGTGGCATCTGAGACGGGCTCCTCGGAGACAGCCGGCCTTCCTCCCTGGCTGACTCTGCAACTCACAGAGAAATGGCAGGCGCCCCGTCATCCCGCGGGGACCCCTGAGCAGCAGCCGCTCACCGGGACTGAGGACTGGGACGGGAGGCGAGCGGGTGAATATCTGGGGGCTCTGGGCCTGGCTGCAGACACATCCTGCCGCCCTGCCTCCTTTCTCCAGGAGCGTCCCGCAGGCTGAGCAAGCTGTGGCAGAGCTTCGGCCCGCGGCGCTTCCTGCGTTGTGGAAATGCCAGAGCACGGAGACAATTATAAGGAGGAAAACAGAGATGAACGACAACTCTAACGAGCGATACCTGCGGCCCCTCTTCTGTTGTTTCCACGGTGGCTTTGAAAGGCATTTCCCACCTTCGAGACCGTGCCCTAAATAGAACTGTATGTTCTTCTACGACTTTGGGCTCTTTTTTCTGCACATTCTCCCTTGGCTGGACCTCCAGTGGGGACAGCGTGATTGGAGGGCTCACGCCGGGGAGGCTGCTCCCCGTGGGGGTCTGGCCTCAGGGCGGGGCAGCCAGGCGACCCCTACTTCAGCGCCGGGTGCCGCAGCAGCTCAAGCCGAAGCCTGACAGCAGGTGCTTGCCTTAAATCTGCTTGGAGGACGTGGAATTTTCAGCACATTCTCCCAACCTTTCGCTGATTATACACTTACCACTGTTCTTGGCAGGACAGCTTTTAAAATTTTTTGGCATCCTGCACTTCCTATTTGCATTTCCTTTCTGGGAGGCATTTTCTTAATGAAACCTCTTGTTCCCCAACAGAAGGCCTGCAGGTTGAAATGCTTGCAGTTTGCAGAATAGGTTGCCCACGGCCTCTGGCATTTTTGTTGTTTAATTCCTTGCTTTAGTTTGGATTTTTAAAAAGTTATCATTCATCGCAGGTGGTTTTGAAGATAAGAGGGGATGGGGAAGACACACCGAACAGGTAGCGCAAGGGAAGGAAAGATGAACAAAACCTAGATAAGAACCTTACGAAACAACAGATGTAAATCCAGCGGTACAGAAACTCTGACTGTATTTAAAACCACTGAGTCGTATACTTTAAATGGGTGAATGGCATGCTATCTGAATTATATCTCAATAAACCTGTTTTTACTGGTGTAGAAGGAAGAGGGAGGGACAGCTGGTGCCTGCTCTGAAGTCACAGGGCCTGGATTCCTCCTGGAAGTCAAGAGCGGCGAGGAGCAGAGGCGCCGTGGTGTCACCTGCGCGCTTTACACAGGCCCACGGCAAGCAGTGTTCCTGTGCACGCACGCCTGGGCGCCGCAGTGAAGTCACGTGTTGGAGAGGGTTCAGCTGCGTTATATTTATAACCGTGTGGTTGCCACCAGCTACCAGCTACCAGCTACCAGCTACCAGCAGGTCTCCTCGCAGTGGCTCACTTCTCTTTTCTCCGTGTCCTCATTCTGTTGCGAAACGCCGCCTGGACAGAGAGGCCCGCGAGTCCGCAGCCCGCCTGTCACACTGGGGCGTGCTGGGCCCTGCACTGGTCCCACGCGGGCCTGTGTTCTCACCTGCCGGTCTCTGGCTGCAGCGCCAGGTCTGCAGGTTGGGGAGCCAGAGCCTCCCTTGGCCGTGAAGATGAATCGCTACCTGGAGGTCCGGCCTGTATCCCAGGATAGACAGGTACAACTGGACCTGCCCGCAAGGGCCCTTCGCAGCCCACTCCGCAGCCCCCTGGCCCCCGCGAAGGCGACTGGGCTGCGCTTTGCGGAGGCCGGCGTGTTTCAGAAGCACTTGAGGAAGGCAGTTAAAATGCAGATTCCCAGAGTTCCTGATCCCGTAGCTTTGAGCAGAGCCCGGGGATCTGCATTGCAGGCAACCACTAATGGGACCCCGAAGCTCAACGCTCAAAAACCAGCCCAAGAGGAGCACCCCAATTCTGGCGTCACCCTGCCATCACCCCGATGCAGCAAAATAGTACCCCTCCATCCCGCCGCCTGTCTCCATCCTTAGGTTTCACTAGTCGGGACCTTGAAGTTCCCGCGCACCCCGCACCACCGTGGCAGTAGCACGTGCGTCGCCGAGGGGCGCATGCTGAGACCCAGTCCAGCGCGGCCGCCCCCTGGGATGGCCCGGGGCCCCGTCCCCTCGGGAGGTGGCGGGCCAGACCAGCTGGACCTCCGGCTGGAAGAAGACATGCAGCAGACGAAACCCCGGGGGTGGGGCATGGACACGGCCCCGCATTTTGCGACCCAGGCTGACTCCGCACGGACGCAGGTGCACACCGCGAGCACACGGTCACAGCTGCTGTGGGCGGGCGCTCTGTGCTTCCCCGCACAGCCGGGGTCCCTCGCCTCCGTCCATTTCCGCAGCTCTTTCATCCAAGCTTTGCGTAAAATACCATCGGTATGTGCACTGAGATCCCTGAGACTAATCAAACTCTATTGTGCACTGTGCCCACGCGCCCATGCAGAGATGCCCACGCGCCCATGCAGAGATGCGCGCGCGCACAGGAAACGGTGGAGCACAACACCAATTCATCGTCTTGCCGACCCTCTGGTCTAGGTGTGCCTTTTGGGATGCAAAGGGCATGTGCTTTGGAGTTTAAAGACCTCAGTTCAAATCCAACCTCTGCCCCTCCCTAGCTACCTGATCTGAGGGAAGTAACTACATTCTCTGGGCCTGGGTCTCCCCGTTAGGATGAAAGGAGAACATTGGCGAGACATCTGGGACCAGGCCTGGAACCTAACGGGAAACCTGCAAGTGGTGGGTAACCTCTTTTAGTTTCCTTTTCTATGTTATTTTATTTTTCGCGTATGCAAGGAATAGTCTTCTCAAATCTCTCTCACGCGGCATTATTGGTGCTCTCAATTGCAGGCATCAGAAATCCTCTCCGGCCAAAGCAAGCGAGGAGGGCACGCACGAGAGGGTGTTGTGGGGAGCCCGGAGGCCTGCGAGCCAGGAGACTGGGGAGCCAGGTGCAGGAAGCGGCCGGAACAGGGCGTGGGGCGCTCCCGGCCGAGACAGCGGCAGAATCACACCCTGGACGGTCTGGTGGCCTCACGTCTGCCCCTCAACCCGAGTCCCGCGTGCCGCTGCCCCTCCCGCTCTCAGTGGCAAAACCGACTCCCTGCCGCCTCTTTTCTTGCCCCACTTGCTCCAGGATTCACAAAGCTCAGGGAGAGAAGGGGGTTGCCGGCCACACGGCACCTGGCCTGGACTCCAGCGATGGGGGCCGGCGACGGCTCCCGGCTTCCGGCTGCCGTAGCTGGTCCTCGTGGAAAGTCCGGGCATTCAGAGACCAGACAGCCCTAGGAGAGCGCTGCGCCAGTCGCTGCTCATCCACGGCTCACGAAGAACAGTCGTCCTCAAGTCTCGCAGGCTCCTCCTCCGAGTCGCCGGGAGCCGCCTGCCCTGTTCACCTCCGTCGGGCTCCGCGGTCCAAGGACCCTGCTCGGCCGCAGCTGGCGTGTCTCACTCCCTGCTGCCGCCCGGGGTCTCAGCCCCCAGAAGGGCTGCCCTGCGTGTGTGCACCTGGGGGTTGTGACCACCTTTCTGAGTTGTCTCTCAACACACACAGGCTGCCTTCCCCACACACACACAGGACACAGATGCGTCGACAACATGTAAGGGAGCCGCGTGGACGAGCCCTGCGACCCACAGAGCGCTGGGCAAACGCCCTCGATCTTGGCCCGCAGGCTGGGAGGCCGACCCTTGGACACGTGCAAGCGACATGTTGTTTGTTTCGTTTGGTTTCACATATTTTCTATTAAAGAGCTGCGTGCGGACCCTTAGTAATAATGAGGCTTTGGACAGGGAGAGTCAGGGCGAGGGTTTCCCGGCTGCCTGTCCCGGTTCTGCGGGGCCTCCTGCTCCGCTGCAAGTCAGAAGGGGACCTGGGCAGGACCGGACCGGACGGAGCGGCGGGGGTCGAGCCCAAGCAAACGCACTTGCCCGGCGGCCTCGCTGATGAGAGACCCCAAGCCCCGCTGGGCCCCCGACCAGGCGCGGTGTCCCCGCCGCAGCCCAGGCCCGCGGGAGCCTCGCGCACGCACCGCCGCCCCCGCCCGCGTCCCCAGCCGCGGCTCCGGCGCCGCTCCGCGCACCGCGCGCGCCCTCCCCCGGTGCCCCCGGTGCCCCCGGCGGCTGGCGCGGGCCGCGGGGCTGGCACGTGACCCCGAAACTTTGGAGGCCGCGGGGCGGGCGGCGGGCGGCGCTGCGGGGCGGGGAGTCGCCACTGCCGCCGCTGCCGGCCGCTGGCGCGCGGGAGCCGGGGCGGGAGCGGGAGCCGGGGCGGGAGCGGGAGCCCGAGCGGCAGCGCGCCCGGGCCCGTCCGCGCGGTCCGCCCGGGGCGGCGCCCAGGGACGCGGACAGCCGCTCGCGCCCGCCCGCCTGCCTCTGCCGCCCGGCCGCGCAGGGAGGCCCCGCGCCGGCGCCGCTGCCCACTTGGCTCCCTCGCTCGCCCGCCCGCCCGGATGGGAAGTTAGGGAGGATGGACCGGCTCTCGCTGGCGTGGATCGCGCTCCTCTGGCTGCCGGGTAAGCGGCCTTCCCCACGGACCCCGGGAACTTTCCGCGGGGGTCTCGGCGCCCCGCCTCCCCCGCTGGTGCATGAAGCTGCCGAGCAGGCGGGTGGCCGGTGGGGGAGGGCCGTGGGTGCGAGCCGTGGGTGCGTTCGCGCGATGGGGGCGCGTGGCGGGGGGCCCCCGAATACAAGGGAGACGAAGGGGAGGCAGGTGTCTGAACCTCTGGGAACAGGAGCCCGTCCTTCCGAACGGGCATTTCCCTGTCCAGACAGCGGCTCTTCCCGAGTTTGCCGCGCGGGGGGGGGGGGGGGGGGGAGGCTGGCCGGAACGAACGGAAGCTCGAGGAGACGGATTAATTAAGGAAGCTGGTTTTCTGGGGTTGGGGGCGGAGGAGTCTTTCCTAATTCTTTCCCTGAGAAGCTGGGACCAGGGGCAGTCTCAGGACGGGAGTGGGGGCGCGGCAGCCCCATGGGTTTGGAGTTTGGGGTCCTGCTGCCTCTCACTTGGGCCTTTTGGGAAGTGGTCCCACAATTAGAGAGGACCCTCCCTCCAGATAAGCAGGTTTCCGTTGCCCCAGGAAACGCAGGCTGCAAAGGTGCTCAGAAGGTAGGGCTTCTCCCGTGTGGGGTGCCTTCCAGCTGGGTCCCCTGAGGGGTCCCTCGGGCTCATGAACTTTCTCCCACCTTCCGGGGTCTGCAAAGGTCTTGTCCCGAACATGCTGTCCCCACGGGATGAGTCTGAGCCTCTGAGGAGAGGTGGCCAGACAGGGTGGCCAGCTCTGCGGGAGTCACAAAGTGGCCCTGCTTGGCCAGGGCGTTGGGAAGGTCTGGGGAGGGGGGGGCCTGGTCGGGTCTGAGACAATGACCATGGAGACCGTGTGCTGGAGGGACGGGATGAGGGACCAGAAAGGCGGGGAGGACAAGGTGAAGGCAGCGAAGGGCAGGAGAGAGAATGCAAAACAGCACCAAAACATGAAGTCTTGCCCCTTCTCGGGGCGCCCACCACTCACCAGAAGTCTCGGGAGAACCAACTCAGTGGAAAAGGGGAACAGAGTTAAAATCTCCAAGACTAGTCGGCACGTGGGGTAAGACACGCTTCAGAGCGGCAGACCCCACTTCCCCCAGCCTCAGAGCCAGGTTTCTGCCCGCCCTGGGTTTTCCTGCTGCACAGGAGGCCCGAACGGGCCCTGGACCCCCGCTGGGTTCAGCTCGGGGGTGGGGGGCGCCCTGGGCTGCGTGGTGCCTCCCTCCCACATTATTCAAGCCTGAATCACCCCTAATTTCAGGCTGGGCGGATCCCCGCCTCCCCCTCCCCCGGCCTCCCAGGACCTGCCGCTGCCCCCTCGCTGATGCTGAACGTCCTCAACTTGCCTCTCCTTCTCCGTTAGCAGATTCCAGGGCAGCTTCGGCCTTGAGCCACTATCCCACCCTCCCTGAAGTCAGCAAGGCACCTGGGGAGGGGTCCCCGAGTCAGGCGCTCTGGGGTTCTGCAGGGCGTGGGGACAGAAGGGACAGAGCTCATGCCAGGTGGCCCACAGCTTCTGTTGAAATGCAGTCACATCGCTGGCAGGCGCCCAGGCCACCCGGCCCAGCCCTGGGACTCCATAGGAATGGAGACCCACAGAGGACACGCACAGGCGAAGGCATGACAGGGCGGCGACCCGGCCGGCTCTCGCCAGCCCCGGGGCCGGCGGGACTGGCTGCCCCCTCAGCAGCCTCTCTGAGGTTCTCGTTGAAGGGGGGTTTGTGCTGCCTCTGTTCTGAGAGGTGAGCTGCTGCGTCTGTGCCGCCCTCCTCTTGCGCCTGGAAGCGGGCAACAGGTTAGCGAGCAGGGCCCCCAGCTCTCAGGTGGCTGGGCCTCAGCGCTCTGCAGGCGAGGCTGGCTCTCGGGGACTCGGGGACTCACGGGGCTCCCGCTGCCATCCCCTGCTCCCGGCTCCAGCTTCCCGGTGCCCCTGAGCAAAGCGGAGGCCCCTGCAGGGGCGGTGGGGGAGGGGGCGGGGGAGGCAGGAGGACGAGGCTTCGGACTCATCCAGGAAGCCAGGGGAGGGGAGGCAAGACGTTTGGGTCCAGCCCAATCAATGAGTTCTCCCTTGTGGGGGTGGCGGGCGGGCGGGAGGGAGGGAGGGAGGAAGGGACAGATTAAAAATGAGTCAGAGAGCCAGGAAAAAACAACGAAAACCGGGCCCCCTCCCGTCTCCTCCCCCGGCTCTTGGCGCTCGCCTCCCCTCCCCCTCCCCCATTTCTCTCTCTTCACGCAGGCTGAGCAATTTCTAATCAACACTTCAGTGTTTTCCTCGGCCCTCTCAGCAGCTCCTTCCTGGTCTTTCATTGCCAAACGCCGGGTTTCCGTCGGCTGCAGATTCAGTCTGATGCTTTCTTATTGTCGCTGGGATGTGGCTTCCTGTCATAGATTGTGTTCTGTTGTTGTTTCCCACAAGACAAGATGCTCACCAGCTGCTGGTCTAGCAACAGGTGCCGCAGGGCAGGAAGGCGGGCGGGAGGCTGCGCTCTGTCTTTGTTCCCAAGTGTGGAAGGCGCGGTTGTCTCCTGGCACGGGCTGTGACCCTGGGGGGAACATGCTCTGGAGCAGGTGACGTGTTTTCCTTGTGACTCAAGGCTCTAGTAGCATTTCTTGCCCTAGGAGCATTTCTTTTGGTGCCCTCTTGGTTTCGATCTTTCATTCATCCATCCATCCTACAAGGGTGCGTTTGACTCCCGGGGTTTCCGAGCATCGTGACAGAGGCTGAGGATTGCGAGACGAAAGACAGCCCTTGCCCTCCAAGAGCCGTTAGTCTGCGCCGTGGAGGGAAGGGCCCTGGGGTGGGAGCCAGGGAGCCACTCAGGGGCCTGAGAAGCACGTCCCGCTCACCCCTGGGCGGGTGGCGCGGCTCCGAGAGGGACCCAGAAGAGGCGACGGCCGGGTTGAGGCGTTTATTCATGCACAGTCAGCGGCTGAGTTCCCGCCGGTCCAGGCGTTTGTAGGGCGCGCAGACGAGGAAGACACGGTCCCTGCCTTCAAGGAGCTCACGGCCCGGTGGCGGGCGCACCGGCGGGGGAACTGGGAACAGCTATGGAGCAGCGTGAGCGACAGTGGGGACCCCCAGGGCTGCAGACCCCGCCTGCAACGGGAAGGGAGGGGTCCAGGCGGCTACCCAGTCTGGCTAGCATTCAGGTAGATGCCTGGTGCCGGGCGAGGTCAGACGTGGGTATGGAGAGTTAAGGTGTGTGAGCCCCGGAGAAGGGGGAGGCGGTGTCAGAGGCTGCTGGCACCTCGCTCTGTTCCCATCCTGTGCGCCGGTCCATCCTTCCCCCCACCCCCATTCTGTGGTCCCCGCGGCGCAGGCCTCATTCAGCCCGAGAGGCTTCTTGCCGCGGCGTCTCACCGCTCCCCCCGCGCCCCAGCCTCCCCCAGCCGGGATGCTTCTCGCTGGACCCGGTCGGGGGGCTTCGTTCAGCACCCCCATCGCCCCTTGGGTTCTGGACTCACATGATTCTGCCAGCTGGCCCGTTTCCACACACCTAGTGCAAGACGGCAGCCGTCTGATTGCAGTACTTTGCTCGCACTGGGTTGGCCAAAAAGTCCGTTTGGTTTTTTCTGTAAGATGGCTCTAGTCATGCTGCGTTGTCTTTAACTTCATTCGAAACAATTTCTTTAGATTGTATTGTGACAGCTGTCATATCAGTGTGCATTCTAAGAAAAAAAAACTTTAAAATTGGTGTGTTTTTGTGTAGCCATTTTAACATGGAAGGTAGAAGAAAATACACAACATTTTTGGCTTTATTTGGCTCACGACATATGAGGCTTTATTATTTTGAGCAAGGTAAAAATGTAACCGAAACGCAAAAAAAAAGATTTGTGCAGTGTACAGAAAAGGTGCTGCGATTGCTCAAACGTGTCAGAAGTGGTTTGCAAAGTATAATGCTGAAGGTTTCTCCCTGGACAATGCTCCACGGTTGGGTACACCAGTTGAAGCTGATAGTGATCAAATTGAGACATTAATGGAGAACAATCAACGTTCTCCCCCATGGGAGAGCCAACGTACTCAAAATATCCAAATCAATAAGGTGGTTGGTGAAAATGACAACTGTGTTGTTAATTTTACGGAAAACAACTAAATGAAGCTCATCTCAAGAGAGAGGACCCAGAAGCTTAGTCATATGGCCGCAATTAGCTGCAAGAGAGGCCAGTACTTGGCGGGCCAGATGAAACCCTGGAAGTTCTGTTAGTAACAGAAGGGGACTGTTAGTCTTTCCATCTACAGAGTGATGAGTGTGACGTGCTTGTGTAACATCCAGATGGAGAATAAAATGGAGCTCAGGTGAGAGAGCTGGCCTAGAAACACGGACAAGTTACCAAAGGTTGACGAGCGCTTTCTTCCGGGAATTCGCTCCATGCAAATGGCTCGCCCATCCTAGCACGCTGACCCTCCTGAATGAACGGAATAAGACGGCTCCCAAAGTGGCTCTGTCCTGCAGGGTACAGGCTGACCTCTTTAGGACGGCTTTGGTCCGGTTGGAACAGCAGGTGAGCCAGCCGAGCAGGAGCTCATTTCAGATCTCCGGAAGATGAGGCAGCGCAGGCGGGGGGCGTGCGCCCCTCCCTGCCTTTCGTCTGCACAGCGGTGGAGAGAGCGGGCGGGCACGGCTCCCCTGGACACACAGAGCCTGTGCTTAATGAATAGCACGCTCTGTGTGCGAAGTGCCAGAGCGTTGGCTGCAAACGACAAGTAGGCCATGAGCGAAACCTGTGTAGGCGAGGCCGGGACTGGCAGCTACCAGGGCGCCGCAGAAGACGGGGAGAGATGCTGCCTTCGGGGTCCCTTGGGGAGAAGATGTGCAAGGACGCTGCCGTCGCTTCCTAAACCTCAGCGTGGTGCATCTGGTCACCCTAACCCTAAAGGGACCAGGCATCAGGGATCAGGGTGGCAAGCGAAAGAAACGGATTCTGGCCGATTTAAGCAGGAAGGAAGGGAGGGAGGGAGGGAGGAAGTGGATTAGCTGACAGAATCGA